CCCCAAAACCCCAAAACCCCAAAACCCCAAAACCCCAAATAAATCAATAAAAATTGAGCTACAACTGCCAACGGTTATAATATTTAAAATTCAGAAAATGTCAAGACATAGTTCGCAAGGGCATGAAGCCAGAAGCCTCGTTACTGAGTCTCCAAAATATAATATCACAGATTTTAGTTGAAATAGTAATATTTGTGATCATCAGAAAGATTATAATCAATCAGAATTGAGCTGCAACTTATGATCTGTATATCTTGATCAAGAATTGCATGGGATTAAAGAAACTTCTTTCAACCAGCACGCTGACGTCTGCCTCAAAGAACACTGGGACCACTTGATCCAAGATGAGCCGTACCTGTGCCAGCCATTCACCAAACAAAACACAGGGTTCGCAGATATCAGAAAGTCGCTGATCGAGTGGATTTTCAACTGAGGAGACAAGCTCAAGCAGAGGAGTCTCACACTCCAGCTCGCCATCGTCTACTTGGACAAACTGTTTTTGTTGGGCAAGCAGGCGACTGTTCGGCAAGACAAGCACTTGTGGGGGCTTACCGCTTTGCTACTGGCTTCCAAATATGATGAGATTGATTGAAACATACCATATATAAAGGACTTCAGAAAAGTTTCTTCTGAAGCTAGATATTCATGGAATGAGGTTACACAATGCGAGAGTCTTATTGCAGAGACTCTCAAGTGGGACCTTATGATTATTAGTCCATTAAATTATACATATGCTTTGTTGACATTCGGAGTTATATTCAGTAACGATGAATTTAAATACAGGAATAGTCTGTTAAAGACTATTGAGCATACTCACAGAGAATGTAAATAATGAAAATGATAAAATTATTAAAATTACGGAAAATAAAATAAAATCTGTCAGAAAATACTGAGAGTTTTATACTGACATGGCGATTCAATCTTATGATTGACAGCAATATAAATATTCTATACAAGCACTTAGTTCAGTTATTGCAGCAAGACAAACTTGAGGAATCATTCCTATTTGGAATGATATATTTTCCAAAATTACTGGTTATTCATATGAAGATATTGAAGAATGCTCAAGAAAGTTGCATACAAAGTATGAAAAATTTTTCTGCAAGACTAAAAAGCCTACAAAGACTAAACTTTCAAAGGCCAAATCTGATGACCAAGACATACTTACGACGTCTCAATCAGTCTCCAACCTTGCTATGAACTCTACTGTTACAGACTCTCTGACTCTTATCAAAGCAGTATCTATCAGTAACAAAATTCGTGAAAATTCTCAAAAATTTAAGGAAAATGATCCTTCTGATCGCTCAGCCTACATAAAAGGAGTGCCTACAATTGGAAAACTGAATAGCAGCAGTTTTTCCACAAATCCTCTTCAGCCAGTAAAATCTTTTAATCTGCAGAAAGAAAAGCAAGCTATGGCTGCTGAAGCAGGGTATTCAAGTCAAAAGGAAGGAAACAGGTTCGGCTCTAAGAGTAAGGGATATCAAGCAACTACTATCTCTATGTCAAGGAAAGGGAGTGTAAAAAGTATAGATTCCAATACTGGTAATAAAGCCTTCAAATCTTTCTTAAAGCAACCTACTAAGATAAAACTTAGAATGGCTAGATCTAATGACACTCAAAATTCTAGCCATATTTCCGAAAAATCTTATAGACAGAATAGAATATTGAGGAAGAGAAGAAAGCAACCTTCTGAATCTATTGATAGTGAGCGAAATGGAAACAATAGATATGGAGCTACACTTAGATTATTTAGTGGCAACTCTCAATCTAAGACAAATCTTAGTTTCAGTAGCTCAGTCGTTTGCCAAAAGATCAAGAAGAATCAGAGCAAATCTAAGATCTCAAGTAATGTCAGCCATAGTGAGATCGGAAACGAGACATCAAGAATTAATAAATATTCTATTGTTACATGAGGCACTACTTTTGATCATTGTAAAGACCAAAGTAAACCTCCAAAGCAGGCCTGTGGGACAATATTCCCGAGAAGGTCTTCAGGATTACTTCGGCCTAAGACTAGCATTGGTAGGAACCACTCTTTGTACTCTAATGCAAAGAAGTTTAACAATAGCTGTGTAGAATCTAAAATCAATGTGGATCACTTCTTGACTAATAGATCAAATTCTGAGCAAGGAAGTATTCAACCTTTCGTAACCGAACCAGTGAAGGGGAATGAACAAAATGAAACCACAGTTGTTAATGTCAGTGAAGTTAATGGATCCATGCATGAAAGCCGCAAGTTGACTAAAAACTACAGTCTAAAGACTATTTTTGAAAAGAAGAGACTAAACAGCAAAGATTTTATTAAGAATAACATCAATTATGTGAATAAATTAAGTTCAAAGGTCAAAAATGAGTAGGATATACTGCTATTTCCCAGTCTAATAGTTTATAATAGTAATGAGCAAAAGAGCAAAGAAAAGAGGAGAAATGGGAAGCCATCTCTTCATAAAAATCACTCAATCGGGAACCTGGCCAAAGGAACCAGGAACAAGACTAATGTTTCTAGAGTGATAAACAAATCAGCTGCATCTATTGGGGTAAGTTAATACTACTTCCAAACCTAATTACTTGATGTTTAGATTCCAAAACCCAAGAGTATAGCGCATAGAGGGAAGTAATTTTGGTAGCCAGAATTTAGCTGTAATTGGAAGCTTCAAAAATAATTTAATAATCATTCAGCATGCAGAGCTACAAGAGGGGTTTTGGGGTTTTGGGGTTTTGGGGTTTTGGGG